GACTAAGGCAGGATTTTGTTCTCCCTCTACGGCAATTTCCGCGATAAAATTCAAACCTGGGTCAAATGTTAGAACAGAATTCGATGCTCAGAATGCAGGAAACGGGGTTCAAATTTCAAAAATTTTCCGGGGGGAGCATGCCCCCGGACCCCCCTAGATATCCTGGTGCCTCCAAAATCTAGTCAGTATTATGCTACAGTCAGATTTTTTGCTGGATCCGCCCCTGATACAACCGGCTACGGAAAAAAAATTCCCTTCGACTTCCATGCGCCGAAATTGCATTGTATTAAACATATAATGTCATTGTATTAGAATGTACGAATCTAAAACCCTCAATCTTGGGCTCCAATGCTTTTACCCATTATGCTACAGCGCTTCCCCATTGACGAGCAAAATCGTCTGGCGTTATACATGTAAAAATAATAAGTAGGGCGCATTCCGGCTCAATGGGTTAAGTAACAACCAAAATTGGGCAAATGGCAATAAGTGGCTGAATTTTTAGAAGGGGGGAGGGCTCAAAACTTCTTTTGAAAATGAGAAAAGCCCTTACCTTGGTGTGATATGCTTTCGAATATCTCTACACGAAAAGTCTTCTAATCCCCACCATTTCCAGGTTGTGACAATGGGTTTTTCGCAAGTCAGATCCTCAAATGGCTCCGATTCCCGTCGAAGAAAATGCAGCAAAGGCAAAGCAGGCAGCCAATTATGAACAAGAAGCCTGTTTGATGATTGTTTTTGGTAAAACTGCAGGATTATCTTGATGAAGGTACTACATATAAAAAATATATATGTGAAAGAAAAAAATGTAAAATCAATTCGCATAATTATATCTCACTTTTATTAAAATAGAGGTCTGTTACAATAAACATTAGGGAGACTAAGGCAGCGTTTACACTGTACCGTTTTCGTAGCGTTCTCGTATTGTTCTTAATCCTCAAGGGAACGCAAGACAATAGTCTAGTTCTCTCGAACAATACGAGAACGCTACGAAAACGGTACAGTGTAAACGCTGCCTAAGCTAAGCAAGCGACGATTTTGTCAACACGGACGTCATATTGCCGAGGGGGACTCATGGATTAAAATCTGTGTTTGTGTCCGTTTGTGGTAATCTTCAACACATATACAGGGTGTATAAAAAAAACGCAACCTCGGAATTTCCCAAGAAATCTACATTGTTTTAAAGACAAAAGATTTTAGGCGCCTGGGAATTTAAAATAGCATAACTGTCAAAATTACTGCACACGCGAGTGCATAAAGCAAAATTTATGCATTTATTTAATGCACAACAACAGTAATATGATCTATTAGCAATTCGATTTCAATTCGCAGGGGCCTAAAATCTTTTATGCTTCAGTGTGATTTCTTAGGAAATTCCGAGGTTGCGTTTTTTTTTTACACCCTGTACAGGGTGTCCCAAAAAAAACGAAAACTATTGAAATCACCAATAACAATTTAATTGTTAGAATTTGAATGCCTTATCGCGCTGTTGGTTCCCACGAGTGCATAAATGATTGACATAAGTAAATTTTATGCATAAAGAAACTGTTTAAGAAGCTGTTTTTAATTCCCAGGAGCAGAAAATCGCGCACTTTACCAGGAGATATTCCTAACTAAATTCTAATACATGCACCTTGTCAATATTTTACGCATCATTACGTCCAGCTGTTTGGTAGGGTATTCAAATTTAACAATAAGTGATTTCAATAGTTT